TTCGATTAGTTGTCCTTATATAAAAAAAAAATGTACTAAAATTTCGGTTATAAAAGAACATTTTAGGAATACCCTAAAATAATTCGTTAGTAGATAAGAACAGGGGTTATATGACAGATGTTTTACTAATTATATCATTCTTATTCATAGGCGTTGCGGAAGGGGTGGGAGGAGGGTGGAGGGAGTGAGGAAAAATTTTCCTCAAACACACATCTCACCCCCTAACTGTCACAAAAATATATTATACAAATATATCATTATAAACAAGAATTCAAAATAAGAAATTAGTAAAAAAAATTAATAACTCTTTAATATAACGAAACTATAATTCGACAATTTTTAAGAAGAAAAAACTAAGATAATTTTTTAAAAAAGTCGAACATAGCTATAGGCCTAAAATAAACCCTAAGAAACCTCCAATAAAATCTATGGGAGGAAAACCCTCTAAGAATAGTCCTAGCAGAATCACCCCGACTACCGCCTATGATTCTATCAGCGGAAATTGAAAAAATCGCGTTTTTTATATTTGTGAGACAATACTTAGGACTTAAGTGAAAGTCGCCTTTTTTTTTACTATTTACCAACGATCCTGGGGTAAGATGGCTAGCCCTCCGGGGTATATCGAATTTAACCCCATAAAGTATATATTTTTTTAATGTTTATCTAAACCAAAATTATAAATTTCTAGAAACAATCGGCCTTCGTAGTAAACACACAAAACAGATCATTACTGGCATAAAAAGAATAAGTCCATTCTGGACAATCAGTGCATTATATCACATATTCGCCAATTTTTACCGAATGATATTATTTTTATGCCCCTCCCACAAATTTTTTTATAACCTGCCCTCCTAATTAATATAATTGGCCAAATCATCAAAACTAGCTTAGAAAAAATTATCTCCTACCCCCCTTTCACCTCTATTTCCGCCTACCTCCCTTCCACTCTTAATATAATGAAGATCTCGCGTCATCCGCGTCAGAAGTGTCCGTTATTCTATCATGATTAGATAGTGGGTTGGCTATAGAGCCATGAACTATTCAGAAACTTATATCAGCATTTTGGTTAGGGTTAGGAATAAATCAGCCAAACAATTTGATATCTAGAAAACGATCGTTACAAAATATAATCGGTAAAAATGTCAGGGCTTTAGTTGACATAGATTCCAATTGGCAGAAAATCCACTCAGAATATTTTCTGGCATCTTTGCCCCGAGTAACATCTGTTTCGAATCTTTGTCGTAGTCAGCTGGCTTATACGGTTCTAGAAAAATTTCTAGATAACCATAAAACACCGACCATGATTTGTGGCTCTTATAAAAATTGAGATTTTTATTTTTACAAAGTTAGCAAAAGGACTGAAAAAAAATGATTTTGATCAATCTCTTATGAATACGGAGCTTCCACAATGAAATGAACTGGATAGTATGTTTTACATTTTTTTTTAGCTATTTGGAACGATTAGTCTTAAAGATGAGGAAGTCATAGACATCCTCGCCCCCCCCCTCCCCTATTACCTTTCCGTAGCATTTCTATCGATTACGTTTAAATTTTCTGCCATCCCAAGATATAGATAATTAACGTATACTTAATCTCTAAAACGTTATAAAATTGATCGAAATAAAAAAAAATAAACCAAATTTTTGCGGAAAAGTTTTTTTTAAATGTATAAAACTAGTGTTGTAGCCAGAAAAAAATATTGCCTAAGTCTCCAGATTTCGCTAATAAGTGCCTAGACCTTGTGTGTCAGATATGAGTACACTTCTCCAAGCTTGTTGCAAAATTATTCCGGATAAAGTATCGAGTTAGCCGTTTTTAAAAATCGACTCAAATCGAGCCGTTTAACAACACTGCGTAACAGAGACCTGCAGAGGTACCATATTTTTTTTTTCAAAAATATTTTTACGACCCGGCCCGGCCCGGCCGGCCCGGTTTTTTGTTAAAAATAATTTTCAGACGCGGCTCGACCCGGGTATTTTTTTAAAAAAAATTCAGGCCCGGCCCGGGTATTTATAAAAAATTGATATACGGCTATGTATAACTCGTTAAAAATAGTTTGATTAAAATTTAGTAAATAGTTAATTTTTTTTTATATTAATATTCTCAAAATTTGGATTTAAGATTCATCATAAATAATATCATTTTTTATAAATGAACAATGAGAAGATGGAAATTTTTTTTAAATAAAAAAAATATTTAAATTTTGAAAGGTTTTTTTGTAATATATATACGTTATAATAAATTTAAAATTTAATCATATTAGCGATAATGACCACCCCAACCGAATTTATTTGATAAACCAGCTGATTACACCATTTTCTTTTTAGGCAAAAATGCTCGTTAACCCCCTTCCCCCCCCCCAATATGAATATGGGTATAAAATAAATAATAATAATTTTCTTTTAAAAAAAATAAAATGGAACCCCGAAAAGTGGGCTAAAAATGGATGAGGGATTAAGATAAATCCCCCCCCCTCATCCAAGAATTTCTTCCATTTAACGAATTAACTTTTTATAATATAATGATATAACCCAGAAGAAAATTTATTGAGTTATGAGTATGACTCTAACAGTGACACATATAATAATACCTAGACTGTCGGTGCATTCATTTGAAAAAGTCGCTGATTTCAAATCAGCTGGAACCGCCATTTTGGAAACTCGTATAGTAATCATACTCATGTTAAATACAACTACTTACACATTTCCCAATACATTATCCTAATTTTATGATCCAACCAGATTGATGTCATTTGAAAAATACAAAATGGCGTCCCCACCTGTTTTTCGTTGATTTACACTTTTAAATGAACGCATTCGTCAATCTAGGTTTCATTATTATGTCATTGGATTCTATTCATTTTGGGTTCACTTTCATTTCCACAAGGACACTTTTACACCTATTATTACCCCCTTATGAATAATGGCACCAGTTTTATTTCATTAATTTTTTATTAGCAAAGGATATCGAATTACATTTTTTTTAACATAATGATTTTTTAAAGGCTCAAAATATTTAAAACAGTTGTTCTTTGCTGATAAATTTCTTATCAAAAAAAAAAATATTTTTTTTATGAAATTATATAAATAAATTACATATAAAAAAAATTATAAATCCTGGGTGTAGAATTGAATTGAGTTGAGTGGAGTGCTTTAATGAAAAAAAAAAATACGATGAAAAATCATAATGTAAAATAAAAATAATAAAAATATTATATTATATTATATATAATCTTATTTTGATGGATAAAGGAAATTATAAAATTTGATAGACTTACTGGCGCGATATTTTTCTTTATTGGGATTAGAGATGGATAAATGGAATTATATTAAATAAATAAAATAAAATGTTATTTTTATAATTTTATTAATAATAAGGAAACGGATGAATGTTATTTGAATTTTTTTTTTTAAAATGATTGAAGAACGGAAATATTTTAATATTTTTTTTTTACAAAATTTTACAGGATATTTAAGGTTACGATTAAAGCTAGCAGGAAACTCGAATCCGTTTAAACCGTTATTAACCGTTATTATAGACCTAAATCGTTAACTAGAAATTTCTCACCCGAACCTCTAAGAAATATCTGTCAGCTGGCTTGAAACCATCTGATATTTCAAACTTTATTTATTTTTTTTTTAAAGGATGATTAAGTAATCAGTTTTTTGACATTTAATATATGTATCGGTAATTATTTTTTTTAGATAATTTTTTTGTGTATATCGCTAATATGACAGGTACCAGCTTACCGAGCTAGCATTTGGAAAAGTGTTCTTAGTCACATAAAATTTATACAATTTTTCCTTTAAAGGGTATAGGTTGACAGGAGAAGATTCTTGGAAATATTTTAATCTTTAATATATCCCATTTATTTACAGTTCTAACAGATATTTACCGCTATTATAACCTAAATAAATTTATCACGCGAACATCTAAAAAATATATGTGAGCTTGCTTGAAACCTTCTGATTTTTTTTTTAAAAAAAAAGATGATTAAATAATCAGTTTTTGACATTTATTATATGTATAGGTAAATATTTTTTTTGTATATCGCTAAATATGACGGTGTCAACTTTTCAAGCTAGCATTTAGGAAAGTGTTCTTAGTCACATTATAAAGTCTATTCAAGTTTTCCTTTAAAGGGTATAATTTGATAGGAGGAGATTCTTAGAAATATTTTAATCTTGAAATATATCTCATATGTTTGTTAAAAATCTTTGATTTATCAGATTTGAGCCAAATAAATAATACCGAAGACCCCAAATTTACCCAAAAGAGGGCTAAACTATTCTGCCACGTTTTGATGGCAACCCCAAATATCCCTAGATAATAGCCAGAAATCCGCAGTTTTTTTAAATATACCCGGGCCGAAATTTTTTTTGAAAAAATACCCGGGCCGGGCTTGGCCGTGTATTTTAAAACCAAATATTTGAAATCGCCATTATTAGTGGCCGGGCCTGAAAATGGTACATCTATTAGCCATATGGATAGGAAATTTCAGAAATCAAGAATATTGTATTTAATGACGGATATATATTCGTGATGAACAAATATAAAACAATTTAAATCGTTTTATTTTATTATTTTTTTTAAATTTCAAATATATCCTATAAATCCAGCATGGTAGGTTAATTTCAGAAATTTTTTTTAAAAAAATAATATAAATAAGAACTAGTGGGACGATACGGAAATTCACTATCATGATCCATACATTTACACGCGTATCAATTGAAATCAGCTGATACCAAAAACTCTAATGGCGGCGTATCACCAGCTGATTAGTATTCAAGGACGCTTTGAAAAAATTCATTTTGATGAACGGTTCATCGGTCTTTCGAGATTCGTATATGTTCCGGGCTTGGCGCCGCGTAAATAATATAATTTATACAAGTTGCCCAACCCGAACCGTCCTTGTGTATATATGTGTATATGTAAGTTAGAAAAAAAAATTAGATTTCTTTATTATACTTCATTTTTTTTTATAAGAATATTTGTATAGAAGAAATAATTATATCAAGCATTCAATGTAATTATTTGATTTTATAAATAATATAAATTTAATAGGAATAATAGTATTGGCGTATTATTAAATTAAGAGGAGATGGCGAGCAAATTGTTGAAAGCGCAAAAGGTGCAGTACCTGTAGTCCTTCCGACTTCTCAGCGCGACTTTCTTAGAAATGCGTCCCCTGGGAGGATTGGTTATCACGTGATCGATATTTAAACCGGAACTGTGGTCGATTATTTTAAAATCGACAATCTCGGGATTAATGTCGCTGCTGGGGCCGATTATGGCGTTTTCGCGGGAGTCGACATTTTGAATATAATTTTGTTCCGATAACTGGTGAACGTTGTCGACAAATCCTTTAGCGCTTCCCTCGTTTAACGCGCCACCGCCTCCCTGTCCACCGATTGGGGAAATGAGTAGGTAATCCGTCCCCAAATCGTTCAAACTACTGATGTCCATGTCATCGTTATCGTCGAAATAGGAAGACGCGTCCTGTACCAATAGGGTACTGAGATGGGAGATGTAGCTTATGGCCAAATGGAGCGTTTCGATTTTGGATAATTTACGATTGGCCGGCTTCGTGGGGATCAGCGTTCTGAGAGCGTGGAAAGCCGTGTTGACGTGGAAAGTCCTGCTCCTCTCCCTGGCGTTGGCGCTCTGTCTTTGGTTTACGAATACCGCGTTAAATTCGTCCGTACTCGTTTTCAATTCGTTGTACCATTTATCGTTGTTATCGTCGTTGATACCTATAATACGCGAGTTAGATTCGCGCATTGAGGCGTTATTTTCGTTGTCGATTTTTATCCTTTCGCAGGCCTCCAGATTGTCGCAATTTTTTGGGTAGGGGATAAAGGTATTGGTCGTCAATTTATGGTAATCAAAATCACAAATGGAATCCAGATAAATATCGGTATATTCGTTTGGGTTATTTTGACTTTGAGAGGATGAGATAGAGAGCTGCGCCCTTGGTGTGCCAGTTTTAGACCTGACGTAAGAGCGTTTGTTGGGCGCGTCAAATGCTTTATTAGTTTTGGATTTGTCCCTTTTACTCTTTTTCTTGGGATCCCTAGGTACTTCTTCAGTTTTAGGAAGAGAATCGGCGAACATCGGTAGCGATGATGACTCGTAAAAGCTCCGCGAACAGTGTGGCGTATCGTCTCGCGAAATGCGGGTATCACCCGCGAGAGCGTACATTTCGGAAGACGTATTCGTAAAAATCATTATAACTCTCGTCGTACAAAAGGAATTAATCACCTAGTATAGCCCGTGAAGTAAGTTTGCCTGGAGTGAAAATCTCTCTGAGGAGTTGGACAAACTTTGGTAAGCAAAATAGTATAATTGGGTTAAAAATCTTAAAAAAAATACAATTTTCAAAACCCGTCACAAAATATAAAATTTATTAATGATATTTTCTTTAATTTTTTCCAAAAAAAAAACAAATAACATTATTTTTTCTTAAAAGAGCGCATGGAAAAATTTATCTCTTCCAAAAAAAAATTCTTAGCTAATTAATTTGTTATCTTGATAAAAATTAATTTTTAATTTTCAAAGTATTATTAAATAATTATTAAATAAAGGGAAATTATTCATAATTAATTTTCTGTAAAATATAGGATTTTTTTCTAAATTAAGCTTAATTTTTGTTAAATTTTATTTATTTTTTTAAATAAAACCATACTTTTTTAAAGTTAGTTTTTTTTATTTTTTAAAAATTTTTATATTTTTATATAATATACATAATATAATAAATACAAAATATAACAGAAAAATAAAGATAGTAAAATTCATTCTTAGAGAGCATCTTAAAAACTTTTATCCCATTTTTTTTTTACACATTAAAATTATGTATTATTAGTTATTTAAAATTTTTTTTATTTAATATAAAAACATTTATGAATTTTTTTCTTTTTTATCTACATTATAACAAAAAAGGCATAATTTTTGTATTATTTATTATATTTTTCAAACTAATTACTTTGCCATATGTAACTAGCTAACCTCTCTTATACTTGAAGAAATGCTAAAATAAAAATCAAAATCAAAATTTTTTTTTATAATTATATATAATTGTCGAAAATCTGACCGACACAAGGTGACAACTGACAACTTAGTAGAGGCCGACGCTGACCAGGTCTTAACAGATTGAAAATTAAAGTGATTGGGTAGTTTTGAAGAGCCAATCATTTTTGAATAACGGGAGAGTAGTTAGTTTTGATTTAGATTTTCCTTTCTTTTTTTATATGCTACTCTGGATTTGGCAGGGGGGAGAGGGGTAAATATCAGAGACCTCCAGAAGTACCATTTACACTGCCCGGTTTTTTTTTCGAAAATTTTTATCGGCCCGGCCCCGGTTTCTATATATTTAGACCCGGCCCGGATTTTTTTTTAAAAATATATTTTTTATTGATTTTTATAGCAAATAATGGCTATTTCATATATTTAGTTTTAATATATACGGCCAAGCCCAAGTTTATTTTAAAAAAATTAAAATACGGCCCGGCCTATGTACCCGGGGCGGGTTTGGACCAGGCCTGCAGGTCTGGCAAATATAGAGACTGGAGTGTTTAATATCGTCATTGGTTTAGGGGGGTCGTTAAGTTTTAATGGACCCATTTTTGTGAGATTTAAATTAGCAATCATATTTTTCCATTAAATAATTTTTCGATTTGAATTTTCTTCGGTCACCATTTTTTATTTTAAACGGTTCTCGAAATAAAAACCGGGATATATCAATAGTTTAGCGAAAGTGTTTTGTCTTTATGTAGGAATCAATGACATATAATCATAGCTAGACTTGACGATGCGTTTAAAAGGGCTACATCAAATTTTAAAAAAAAACAGCTGGGGACGCCATTTTGGTTACCCATCATATCATTATTTTTTTTTAAAAAATTTAAAACGACAGGCCAATTTATTCCCATGTCCTGATTCTGACGCGTGCTTTATTAAAGAATTGCCTGATGATCGGAGATAATGGTAGTTGTTTTTAACATGAGAATAATTACTACACGGGTTTAGCATAATGGCGGAATCAGCTGATTTGCATTCAGCCACGCTTTCAAATGCTTTATTATATGGATGCATCGTCAGTCTAGGTATCATTATATGTCATTGGTAGGAATACAATTCTCTCGGATTCAGAAGGCGTTTTTCGTTGCAATTGTAAAAAAAAGGCCAACAAGTTTTCCAGATAAAGGGATTGGAGTAATTTGGTCATTCCGGTCCTTACACCGCCCTCAGATTAGATATCCGCATAACTCTACCCGCTAAAAAACCCGGCCCGACGGAATTTTTTGAAAAAAGAATTAAAACGGGTTCTTGGAAAATTTTTGTTTAAAAAAAAAATTATAAACGACTCGGGGCATAACAAAATAATTAAACAGGCGATGACAAATTCGCACTATAAAAAAATATATATTTCTGGCCCAGCTGGACAATATATAAACGAAATAAGAGGCAGGTGTCACAAATCTCCGACTTTTCGTAGACATTTTAGTAGATGATGAGCCCAGTCAAGGACATTAAAATGCATAAAATACAGATATCGAACACAATCGATTGATAAAACGGTGGGAATAGATAGCCCTAGAGGAGAGATATAAGTGCCTTAATTGAAAGGAAAAAAAAATCAGATGTAAATATTAAAAAAGTGAAGACCTGAAAATTCGTTCAAAATACAAATTAGTGGGCCGGGGCGGTCTTTTCGTAAAGCCTTGACGGGGGCTGACCTAACTCTTCCCTAAAATATTTAAGGGCCTAAGCGGTTCGCACGGGGTTAGCAGATCTCTTCCTCCGATTGCATTCTTCGGTTTGAAAAAAAATGCTTAGTATACCAATCGCCTCGAAAACTCCGACTGATTATACTATATACGTATATTGTTCTTAATAAATTATCAATTAATCAGTTTGGGAAATAATATAAGTGGAACTTTTTCGATATTCATTCTACTCCTCATATATTTTATTTCCCAATTGAAACAATTTGTAAAACTAAAGCGTCAAAATGATTCAAAAAATTTAACTTAAAATTTTGAACCTTTTTTTTTTGCAGGCCCCTTTGCTCATATTTCTTGCTTTTTCGGAAAAAATATATATTTTATAATCAAAAATGTTATTTAAATGCGATATTTTCCAATCTCTCTCGCTTTGCGCGTATACGGTTGGGCATGATTAGATTAAATTAGTGATCTGCATCGGACCTAATTTTTCAAACCCGGCCCGGCCCGAACCCTAAATTTTTTTTAAAAAAATTTACCGACCCGACCCGGCCCGAATTTATTTAAAACGTAGAAATTAATTTTTATAATTACTCAAAAATAAAAGACACATGTTATATGTCGTTTAGTTTCAATAATAAATAAAATCAAATATTTTTATTTTAGGCTGTGTCCAAAGTATCAAAAAAATTTAATCGCGCAATTTGCGCAAATCTAGCGAAAAAAAATATAAGCCATTTTTAATGGAAAATTAAAATGTTGACCTAAATGATTTTTTCAAATTTCTATAAATACCAAAAAATGATTTAGGCCAAAATTTTAATTTTCCATTAAAAATGGCTTAAATTTTTTTTCGCTAGATTTGCGCAAATTGCGCGATTAAATTTTTTGATACTTGGACACAGCCTTACACAAAAAAATCAATATATAAAATTGATAAATTTAGATATATTTAAAAAAAAATTCCAAAGTCCGACCCGGCCCGAAATTTTTAAAAATATTATACCCGGCAACCGGATTATTTTAACTTTGCAGATCTCTAAATTAAATTATTTAAATCAATGTTGTTTTTTATTTTGAACAAAAAAAAACACGATTTGAAATCGAATTTTTGCTTGTAATTTTAAAATTAAAAATTAATTATTCGTATTTTTTTTTAAAATAAAATACATTTTATTATATTTCTAAAAGTTTTATTATCCTTTTTGCATCTAATTCTTAATAGCTAAAGTTAATTATATAAATAAAAACAATCATTTTTACGCGTGGTATAAATTTGAAGGAGATATTAAGAATCTCTTAAGATTATTTCAATTTTCCTCCATATTTAAGTAAATTATTTATATTAAATATTTTGATAATAAAAAATAATTAATTCTGCAGTCCGTGTTGTGCCCGAAAGCTTGAAAATAGGAATAATCTCTTCTTTTTTTTTCCTGTCGGGAAATAAAAAACTTGTCCAAAACATCAATCAATCAAAAAAAAAACTCTAATAGGTTTCCTCAAACTAAAATGAGTTCTGGTTGCAGTTCTGAATATTTTTCTAAAAAAATTCTTCTTCTCTTCTCTCTTTCTTTCTTTCTTTCTTTTTTTCTATTTTAAAAGAGGCCTCTCCAGGTAATCTATGAATGGTGACAAATCATTTATAAAAAAAAATGGGTGAAAATATATAAATAAAACTCAAAATTACGAAATATTTAATTGGTCCTTTTTTTTAATCTTATTGGAATCTAAGATATTGACCTTTCGCCGTTTAAACAGCTGATTTTTTAAAATTTCGATTCGTTCATATATTATCACAAGCAAAAAAATTGTCAGATTATTATATATTTTAACCCTAATCCATATCTCTCAACCCTTTAATTAAACCCTAAGGCATATAATCCTATTCCTAACTAGTGTTGTAAAATGGCTCGTTTTGACCGCGATTTTTAAAAACGACTAACTCCAATACCTCATCCAGAAAAATATTAAGATTTTTACTCATAGAAAGAAAGAAAGAAAGAAAGAAAGAAAGAAAGAAAGAAAGAAAGAAAGAAAGAAAGAAAGAAAGAAAGAAAGAAAGAAAGAAAGAAAGAAAGAAAGAAAGAAAGAAAGAAAGAAAGAAAGAAAGAAAGAAAGAAAGAAAGAAAGAAAGAAAGAAAGAAAGAAAGAAAGAAAGAAAGAAAGAAAGAAAGAAAGAAAGAAAGAAAGAAAGAAAGAAAGAAAGAAAGAAAGAAAGAAAGAAAGAAAGAAAGAAAGAAAGAAAGAAAGAAAGAAAGAAAGAAAGAAAGAAAGAAAGAAAGAAAGAAAGAAAGAAAGAAAGAAAGAAAGAAAGAAAGAAAAAAAAAGAAAGAAAGAAAGTATCGAAATCACGATGCTTAGGCACTATTTTCTCTGGCTAAAATATTGAGTTGGCCGTTTTTAAAAATCGCCTCAAAGCGAGCCGCTTAAAAATGCCTTACTCCTTACCTCGTACAGCGGATTTATATTTTAAAAACCCGAACATGTTTAGAAAAATTAAAATTTAATTATGGTTAATAATAGCAATGTATAATAATGTATCTTTGAGGCGAAAAATATTTTGTACCCCTCTCAGCTATTTGAAATTCTTTTTATGATAAAATATATTTTTTTAAATTTGATATCTTTTATATATAATATAATTTTTAATATAAAATCGGCTCGGGAGTCGGCTCGGGAGTTGGCTCAAATGGCTTATTGAGCCGCTCTAGTCTGAGCCGTATTATACGACTACGGCTCGAGTTCAGAAACATTGTCCATGAAAAAAGTGAAGTAATAATATTAATTATCCTATGGGAGACCTAATAAAATAATTGAATCTATAAGCCCCGGGTTTGGGGCTTGTTGGCACAAAAAAATTACTTTTATACTAGAATCAATCTTGAGAAAAAAAGTATAAAATAATCTAAATATCTATCCATGTACAAGGTTAGGTAAATGTTAAGGTCTATCTTATGGTATTTTTTATAAATTCAAATACAATAGTTTTTTTCGGACGATCTATGATGACTTTAACAAAAATAATGCTCCGACCAACCCCGGTCTCCCCAACCCTGTCCATGGTATAGAGGGAAAATTATCAACATTCTCGAAAATTCGAGATTTTGTGGATAATTATCCTGTCGTAATTTAAATCATGATTTCGCTACTTGCATGAAAAAATATGAATAATTAAGTACAAAATATCAAACGTGTTTTCAGCCCAAATTCCAGTAAGCTAAGGGGATAAGGCGTCCATTTTCTGGAATGTATCTGTATTTGTAAATAACATGATATTTTAGCTCGTAAACATTTCTCTCTACACCCCCCCCCCACCCCCTTCCATCAACTAAAAATCTGTAGATCTAATTTTTTCGAAGAATGCACTCTCTAAGAGTGATGTTACTTTATTTTAAATATTTTTTAATATAAATTTTCTCTATATACATATATAATTTTTTTAATATATTCTTTTTTTTAAAAAAAAAAAAATTTGATATAGTTTTATATTGTATCTTATTTTTAAAATACCCTTATATTATATAGAATGGAATGAGCTTTCAGAAAATTTTCATTAATATAATAAAAATATTTGCCGAGATTAGAATCTCCTTAACCATGTTAAATTTTTTGACCATGGAAAGACCGATTTAATTTCTTTCTTTTTTTCTTATGGGATAATACGTTTTTCCTTATTATTTGGATGAGAAAAATTTGCTCATGTCCTGTATTTTTTTTGAAAGATTATATCTATATGAAGTATATAATAAAATCTTGCGATGAAGAATTTAAACTATATATATCATCACTTTTTTATCAAAGGCCAAAAACAATAACGATTGGACAAAAACTTAAGAAGAAAAGAGTGGTTTTTGAAGCATAAGAAGGTGTTGATTTTTTTAAAAAAATAGATTTTACCCATTATGTAATTAATTATAAAAAAAAAAATTCGTACAGTAATAAATATAATTTTTTTTTTTAAGGTCATTGGTTAATTTATTTGAATGGTAGCTGATTATAATATGTTGGAAAAATGCAAAAAATAGAATTGACATGGAAGATTATTCGATAAAAGAGATAAAACTTATAGTTAGAGCGAATAATGGCGGTAGCATGTCTTCGTCGTAAGAAAAGGGATTCCTTAGGCTGGTCAGTTTTTTCACGAAATCCGTTTGCCTAATTCTTTAAAAAAAAATATTCTCATAATATTATCGCGTTGTTAATTTTTTTTTATATTAAAATTAAACTCTTATTTCTGACTATAATAAATATTAAATTTTGATACGGATTTCAATTATTTCCATTTTATATATATTATATTATTTGAAAGTGTCACAGTTACTTTTGAAAAGTAACTGGTTTTAAAGTTACAGGTACATCGCAGTGCTCCGAGGAGGCTCCAAAGCATAAGTCAAGAATTTTAGCCTTAAATAACCGAGATGAATCATTTTTACAACATTCATTCGATTCTTATATTTTTCGGTTTAACCCTTTTAAAAACCATTATTAACCAAATAGAAAGACAAAATTTTATTCAGGAAAGGCCAAATATTGTAAGCCATATCTGGATTTTACCCGTAAAGATCATATTTTAAAGAAAAAATTCGGGCCTAGGCCAAAAAAACTGAAAAATATTGGTCGGGCAAAAAAAAATTTAAAAAAACGGGGTTATTTTTAAACGTTAAAATGTGATTCGCTTTAAAAAATCAGGTCTGGACACAATAATAAATTCATAGCGCGGTCTGCGTAATACTGATATTATAACACTGTAAATTCTAATGGATAACAAAATAAAATAAAAAAATATGAGTATAATAAGGCGTTTATTTATACATTCACGAGGTATATATATATACAAATCTTAATCTATTAAAATTATTATTTTTTGATTCAACCAATAAGAATTCTTTATTTTTATATCTCGGCTTGGGCGAACATCTCCCGAAGATCTCGAACCATTTCGCGTTCCTCGTCCTTGGGAAGAATGACCGATTTCCAATCGGCCTTTTCTGGCTGATTCAACAAATCTCTATGGCAAAACACTTCCCTATAATAATAATAAAAATATAAATGAATAAATTTAACTCCACGATTAAAACTAAAAAAATTAGATCAAATTAAGATTTATATTTATAAATTTTCTAGTCTTTGTATAATTTAATTTTAAAATTGTTATTTATTTAGTAAAGCTAGAACTGGGAGAAAAAAACACCATATTCGGCCACTACACAGCTCAATTATATATTGATCTTTTTAAGAAACTTTGTGGTAGCCAATCAACAATTTAAAAAATAATTTTGATGTGACGTGGATTGTCATTCAAATGTCAAATCGACCATTTAAACTGCATATAACACCTGTGATATTTAGTGAAAAAACTAAACATAACACCTGTGATATTTAGTGAAAAAACTAAACATAACACCAGCGATATTTTGTGAAAAAACTAAATATCGCACATTCATTTAATATTTTTATTTCCTTGTACCCGCGATATTTAAAATCATCCATTTTATAAAAAAATTGGATTTTATTTTTAAAGTTACTGAATTATACATTAGTTTATATTTCGTATTAAATTTAAATAATAGGTGTTCACTGGTTAGAGCAAAATTTTGATTCTACTTCTCTGCTATAAATTTACTGATATAGGAGGTACAGCATAAGAGATAAAGGTAAACAATTTTTTTATAACCTAATTTATATATGACATCAAATATTTTATGGTACTCTAAATTTTAATTTAATTTAGTCATACCTGTTTTATATACTAGTTACCATTTTTAAATAATTAACTAAGCAGCAATATTGTTTTTATTTATCATATACAGATTTTTAAAGTAAATGCTTATATTTTTTATATATTAAATTTAAATAATAGGTGTTCACTGGTTAGAGCAAAATTTTGAATATACTTCTCTGCTATAAATTTACTGATATGGAATGCACAGAAACAGAAAGTACAAAGGTAAACAATTTTTTTTAAATCCAATAATTAAACATGAAATGCAGATATTTTATTTTATTCTAAATACTTTTTCATTTGAATTTAAATGTTATCTATTTTATAAGCTAATTTCTTTAGTTAATAGTAAATAGATTATATAATATATTACACAAATATCTTACTTCATGATGAGAAACTTTAATTCTATAGTAAGTTATGCAATGAACTATTAATTTAACATTGTATAAAGTCTGTTGACACCAATATGTGGTATTAAGATGTTTTTAAATTTTTAGAGTTCTCAAGGAATTGTTAAATTCTTGTCTTATTATTTTAGGGTATACCTCTGCCTAGTTCTCATGTAATGATATATAATATATATATAATAAAGTGTGTTTAATTAAATTTTCAAAATATATTTATATATGCTACATCTTGGAGCGATATTTTTTTCATATGCTTCATTATCCAGGACTATTGAAGAATTTGAGAATTCTAATTTTGTAAATGTCTATATAGCAAGGTCCTATCTACTAAAAGCACCATATCCTGTAGACGTTATAAATCTTTTTAAATATCGAAAAGTTTATTATTCTTGCAAATATGGTGGCACAATTCAAAAAAGCAACTCCAAGGGTATCAGAAATTCCTCAACATTTCGCAAGAAGTGTTCCTTTAAATTTACATTATACCTTAAACATAAGGACACTGGACATTACTTAGAAATTGTGACCATGGTTGATGAGCACTGTAATCATGATTTAAGTATAATTATACATTATAATAAATTAATATAACTCATATAAATAGATAGTATTACTTTCCATTCCTTACCTAAAGAAAGAATGCTTTCTGTGGAAGAAAGGCAAATAGTCGAAAATTCGTTAAAACTAAAGGCAAACAAGCTAAAAATTCAGGAATCTCTTCTGAAAATGGGTAAAAAAATGACACTTAAAGATATACATAATGTCCAGACAAAAATTAATAAAACCAAGACCAATGACTTAGCAAGTATTTTTGAACTATTAAAAAGAGATAAAGAAGCCATTGTTGAGGTTGCTGAAGAAAATGATGTATTGCTAGGTATTTTCTTTCAGGACAGGATAATGCAACAAAATCTAAAAAGATTTTCTGAAGTTATGTTTGTAGATGCTACCTACAAATTAAATAATTATGGAATGCCTTTATTCATCACTTTGGTTGTTGATGAATGGTGAGTCACAAATCGTATCACTTTGGCTTGTACAAAGTGAGAGCTATAAGTGTGTCAAAACGATGTGTGATTATATGAAATTCCATAATAATAACTTGGAAGATCTGGAGGTTATTGTTGCAGATAAAGATATGGCAGATAGACATGCCTTTTATGATAGTTTTCCTGGGGTGAGCATACATATCTGTATATTTCATGCTCCTAGACTATTTAAGAGAGAAATTACAGTGGATAAAAGAAATATCACCTTATCTGAGGTTAAGATAGTACTGGATATATTACAAAAAATGGTCTATAGCAAGACAGAGGATATATACAATGATCTATATTCAAAACTTATTGAATTAGACATGTCTCTAGTGTCATTATATTTTAATATTAATTGGCACCATATCCGGAAAGAATGGGTGATATACTGGAGAAATGAGTCACCACATCTCCTCAATCTAACCAATAACCGGCTTGAATCATTAAATCAATAAAAAGAGTCGTTAACAAATATTCACCATTAAACGACCTTTTTTCAGATTTATCAACAGTGGTTGGTTCCCAGGCATATGAAAGGCAATTTAGAAATATAATGAGTGTAGAGAGGCAACAGATTGTAACATACGCATCATATACCCCGGAGCATGCATACTCCACTCTTTTAACCCCATATGCTTTCAAGATTGTTTTAAACGAAATTTTGCTACATAATCAAATTCAAATATTCAATATGGATACTATTTTAAACCAAGGATTCATCTGCGAAAAAGGTGTTGAAATTAAGGTAACATTGGATTCTTGTACCTGTGGATTTATGAAATGTATCAAGCTTCCTTGTCGCCATATATTAGCACTTCATGCTACATCAAAATTCGACATTTATCATAGTCATCTTTGTGGTGAGAGATGGACTAAAAAATATACACAAGACACATTATTAATGACACCATTAAACACATCACAATCATACATAAATATCTCAAAACATGATACTATTCCTTAAACAAAAAATTTATCTATCAATGATAAATTTAAAAAGGTACAAAGAATATTGCTGCCCTTTATTTTATTTAAGATGTAATTTCGTTACTTGCTGAAAACTTCCTCTGTTTCCTCGAAAGGCCTATCACTGATAAATCGGATTGCCTATACCTACCTATTTTTTTCATTTTGAGAGGCATTTTCATACTTTTTAGCCTCTTCATAGTTTTGTCATTATCTTTAATTTCAGTCTCAGTCATAATTGTAGTTTTTATGACTGGAATCATTACATTTGTATCTATATTTAATATTAAAAAATTATTTTACAAAAAATAGCAATACCTTGTTGACCGTTAATAAATTTGGGCATAACTATTGGATTTGGAAAAATCATTTGATCTCCAAAACATCAAAATATTTTCCTCCTTGGACAATATCTTCAAGTTTTTTTAATTTTTCAAGAAATATATCAAAGATTTCTTGAGGAAGGTGTGACATTAACCCTGAAAAGGGCAGCAATATTCTTTGTATCTTTTTAAATTTATCATTGATAGATAAATTTTTTGTTAAAGGAATAGTATCATGTTTTGAGATATTTAGGTATGATTGTGATGTGTTTACTGGTGGCATTAATAATGTGTCTTGCGTATATTTTTTAGTCCATCTCTCACCACAAAGATGACTAAGATAAATGTCGAATTTTGATGTAGCATGAAGTGCTAATATATGGCGACAAGGAAGCTTGATACATTTCAAAAATCCACAGGTACAAGAATCCAATGTTACCTTAATTTCAACACCTTTTTCGCAGATGAATCCTTGGTTTAAAATAGTATCCATATTGAATTTGATTATGTAGCAAAATTTCGTTTAAATTAATCTTGAAAGCATATGGGGTTAAAAGAGTGAAGTATGCATGCTCCGGGGTATATGATGCGTATGTTACAATCTGTTGCCTCTCTACACTCATTATATTTCTAAATTGCCTTTCATATGCCTGGGAACCAACCACTGTTGATAAATCTGAAAAAAGGTCGTTTAATGGTGAATATTTGTTAACGACTCTTTTTATTGATTTAATGATTCAAGCCGGTTATTGGTTAGATTGAGGAGATGTGGTGATTCATTTCTCCAGTATATCACCCATTCTTTCCGGATATGGTGCCAATTAATATTAAAATATAATGACACTAGAGGCATGTCTAATTCAATAAGTTTTGAATATAGATCATTGTATATATCCTCTGTCTTGCTATAGACCATTTTTTGTAATATATCCAGTACTATCTTAACCTCAGATGAGGTGATATTTCTTTTATCCACTGTAATTTCTCTCTTAAATAGTCTAAGAGCATGAAATATACAGATATGTATGCTCACCCCAGGAAAACTATCATAAAAGGCATGTCTATCTGCCATATCTTTATCTGCAACAATAACCTCCAGATCTTCCAAGTTATTATTATGGAATTTCATATAATCACACATCGTTTTGACACACTTATAGCTCTCACTTTGTACAAGCCAAAGTGATACGATTTGTGACTCACCATTACCATCAACAACCAAAGTGATGAATAAAGGCATTCCATAATTATTTAATTTGTAGATAGCATCTACAAACATAACTTCAGGAAATCTTTTTAGATTTTGTTGCATTATCCTGTCCTGAAAGAAAATACCTAGCAATACATCATTTTCTTCAGCAACCTCAACAATGGTCTTTATCTCTTAGTTCAAAAATACTTGCTAAGTCATTGGTCTTGGTTTTATTAATTTTTGTCTGGACATTATGTATATCTTTAAGTGTCATTTTTTTACCCATTTTCAGAAGAGATTCCTGAATTTTTAGCTTGTTTGCCTTTAGTTTTAACGAATTTTCGACTATTTGCCTTTCTTCCACAGAAAGCATTCTTTCTTTAGGTAAGGAATGGAAAGTAATACTATCTATTTATATGAGTTATATTAATTTATTATAATGTATAATTATACTTAAATCATGATTACAGTGCTCATCAACCATGGTCACAATTTCTAAGTAATGTCCAGTGTCCTTATGTTTAAGGTATAATGTAAATTTAAAGGAACACTTCTTGCGAAATGTTGAGGAATTTCTGATACCCTTGGAGTTGCTTTTTTGAATTGTGCCACCATATTTGCAAGAATAATAAACTTTTCGATATTTAAAAAGATTTATAACGTCTACAGGATATGGTGCTTTTAGTAGATAGAACCTTGCTATATAGACATTTACAAAATTTTTCAAATTCTTTAATAGTCCCAGATAATGAAGCATATGAAGAAAATATCGCTCAAAGATGTAGCATCTATAAATATGTTTTGAATATTTAATTAAACCACACTTTATTATATATATTATATATCATTACATGAGAACTAGGCAGAGGTATACCCTAAAATAATAAGACAAGAATTTAACAATTCCTTGAACTCTAAAAATTAAAAACATCTTAATACCACATATTGGTGTCAACAGACTTTATACAATGTTAATATCTAAGTTGCATATTTTATCAAAATTTTATGGATTCAAAAATATACATTGAATGTGTAATAAATCTATTTTTTTTATAAAGTACTATATTTGATTTTGGTTGAATCGGATTTTTGACAATATAAATAACTAACATGCCAAGTATTTTTGAGATGGTCATCAAAAACAGTGATTGATTTGTGATGAATGAGTCATGTATGAAATGAATCACAACTTTGTAAATGTTTCATTTTATGAAGATTTCTATTTTTATTAATTTTTTGTTAGCTAATTTAAGATATTCATATTTGGCATTGTCTTTACTAAATGAGATGGTGATAAACAATTATACATTACATTACACGGAATGAGAGAATAATAGGGAGCTTTAAGTTTTGGATTTTGAACTAGGTTTAGTTTAAGGAATGGCAAGAATAAAGAATTTGGTTTTAAGCAAAATTTTTTGATAAATATTCTAAAAATTGTTAAGTTGTGATTAGATATAGATAGTGTTGTTAAACGGCCCGTTTTAAGCCGATTTTTAAAAATGGCTAACTCAATATTTCATCCAGAAAAATATTATGCATACAATGAAGATTTTTGCTCATAGAAGGAACAAATGTTTGGACATATATTATCGAAATCTGGAGGCTTAAGATAATATTTTTCTAGATACAATATTGAGCTAGGCGTTTTAAAAAACAGGCTCAAAACGAAAGCAAAATATTCTCATTTTAAGGAGGTTGTTAAAAAAAACTTTACAAATTTTATTAATTTAAGAAAGTGAGGATGAACATGAAAGACTAATTCTTAGTAAACAAATTAATAAGCAGACTGCTCTTCTCAACTATGGCATCTGTTTATAAAATAATGTGAACAGTATAATATGCTTGATACTTTGCTAATTATATTGCACACATCAATTATCTTAATTTAAATTATTTTTCCTTTTTATATATATCAAATTGTGGTTAAAACAATAAGTAAGTAGGTGATATTATAAGATTCTTCTAAAGAAAAAAGTTTGAAAAAATTGTTTTTTTAAAGTTATAAATGAAGTTCAATATTACTAAACTCTGTATAATATATAAGTATTTAGGATTAATAGAACTCTCTATTTAACAATATAATTATTCAAAGTAAAACAAGAATGGTACAGTTTAACATTATATAATTTATATTTTTCTTACCTTCCAAAATTTATAGGGAAATCATTATCTTCAATATTGGCAAAGAGCTTTTCCCCATCATCAAACTCTACATAAAAATATTTGGATTTTGGAGAGATTATCTTGAAACATTTATAAGTTCACAAATTCAGTGAATATAATTTTAAAAAAAAGAAATAAAAAATTTATTCCCAAAATTTCATAAATTAGTTTTTAAATACTATAATACAGGATAAAAATTATTTAGAATATTTATTATAAGAAATATTATTTTAAAATAAATTCATAAGCATAGATATAAAATAGATAATAAAACATATTTACCTGGCATATATGAGTATAAGGGGGTATCTGATTCAAGTTAATATTATTTTCCTTGGCTTTTGTTAGAAAGATATCTTTTATTTCAATATATTTTTTAGAGGGAACTTGTAAACACTTAAAAAAAATATATATATTAGATTCAGCCAAATTTTAAGTTACATGTATTTGAAAGTGAGGGGTTTTAAAATTGCGTTCATAAAATGCACATCTCAAGTTAAGAGTTTTGAAGATTTTAATTAAATATACTTTAATTTTATTAATTTCTTCTAAAACACTCTCTGGTAACTGTATTAAAGATGTCAGATGGGCAAATGGGATTATAATAACATGGTAGGGAGTAAGATTTCCCTTAGCTAAAGCAATATATACCTTTAATATTTTATCACATTTTTTTAAAAAAAATCGTTTTACTTCTTTTCCAACATAAACAATTAAGTTTTTTTCAATTTCTTTGTTTCCAAGACAAAACCAACAATTTAATTGAAGGGCTGAATAAACGGAATATTAAATGAAATGCTAAAAAAATTTAATACTTTGATTATTTTTTTTATCGTGGGAAGGATTCATAATAGAATGGTGTCTACTGTGATATATAATGAGTGACATGCTAGCTAATAAAACAATACAATAAAAATAAATACATAATATTTCAATTAAATAAAAAAAATTATTTGATAAGATAACTTGTGAGAAGTAGTCTAGAACTGTATTAAATTCTTCATTAATTGCAAAAATTAATATAGGCTTTCATGTTAATTAATTGATCCCCCAAAGGAATTAAGGCGAGTACAATGTATTTATAATATATAGACAGGACCGTAATCAAGAATTCCCAGCTAGGGGGGGGACTGTTTACTTGGAGGGGTATATTTTTCTGAAATAAAACAAATAGTCAGGTATTAATAGATTTTAGTTATTTTTATTATAAATTTGTAAACGATAATTTTTATTTTTAAATTTAAACATAAATGAATTTAAAGCTAAATTCAGTAAAAAAAATTTTCTATATGTGATTAATTGGTGTTTCTATACGGTTACAATACTATTAATACTAAATTTGGTTAACGTTGATCTATCATTCTCTAATGCTTGAGAGAACTCTCATTAGTTTAAAGAATGAGGCCTCACAAAAACCCATTGATGCATGATGATGGCTGTTGAGTAGAGTAACATTTATATAATTCACTAAATATAAGATGTTTTTTATACACAATATTTTAGACATTTTCTAAATTTTATTTTAACTTCTGCAGCTATTATTCTATTTGCTATTATCATTTCATGATATAACGTATTCATATTTAAGTTTGATGATTCTAATGAGGTTATTTTAACTGATATAAGAGGATCAAGATCAAGGGGAGGGAGGAGCAATGTATAATTATCATAATCAACCTGTGTTTTATAATAATTCTTTTTTAAAGAACTCCAATTTGAAGTCCTTTTCACAATCAAATTGCAATTTGGTATTGACTGAAAAATCTTACAGATTTGCTGGCGTTTTACGTACCCTTGAGATTAATTTTTGAAATAAGTTTCTCATTCTTAAATATTATCAGATCAAAAGAATTATCACTTCTTTTATTTTTTGATATATTGGAATCAATACAATTTTTATAATACAACAGTATCATGAGTGGAAATTTCTGAGTTAAGTGTCTATTAGAAAAGTAAAATAATACTTAACCGATAGTCTTAAAATCATTAAAAATGATACGAGAGGTTTCTAAATGACCATTCAGATGCCTCTTAAAAGTATAGCCTGTATATTTACAGGATACGTTAAAACGCCTAAAAAAATTATAAAATGAATTAAATTAAAAAATTAGAAATGATAATATTATTATACCATTATTAATTTGTATAAATTAGATAAATAATATTTTTCTAAAAATTTTGTTGTGTATTTTCATTTAAGTTAATCTTTTATGGTGTAATAAAATTTAATAACTAAAATTTTTTTTTTTTAATTTAAGGGCCAAATTTTTTTTGGAGGTCAGCCTTCTCCGCATCCCCCACCCTGTTGTTAAAATATTTTTATCACAAGTTGTTCTTACCGAAAATATTTTGCGGAGCCCTTTATAGTTTTTGAAAAATTTTTTACCAAAGACTAGCGCGTTAGTCTCATAAAAAGTCCACCCCGGTTTGTTAAACCTTTTTATATAGCTATTACATTATTTTTATATCTAAATTTTTCACAAAATCAATAAGGCAGTAATATACTTTCTATATATATATGGCCGTTTTATAAATCAATCGTGTTAGTTATCTGTATCGTGCATTTGTCCCCTCTCTACGCCGCTGTTTTAAATAATCATTTTTAAAAAAATCGCAATCATTTAATCCTTTTTACTATATTACTGGGTACTAAAGGTGTATAGCACAAATGAATATTTAAATATATTACATTTTTCCAAACTTAATAATATAAATTTTTTTTAAAAAAAATAAACGAATTAATGATCTTATGTAATAAAATTTCTTTCTTTTATTATGATTTTTAAATATACCCGGGCCAGTCTGGGTCTGAAATTTTTTTTAAATAAAAATATAGGGGGGAGTGCCATATATTTTAAAACCAAATATTTTAAATCGCCATTATTATTAGCTATAAACTATAAAAATTATAAATAATTTATCTTTAAAAAAAATCAGGGCCGAGCCAAGCGAGTTTCTGTATTTTATAGTGTTGTTAAACGGCTCGTTTTGAGCCGATCTTTAATAACGGCTAACACATTACTTCATCCAGGAAAATATTACCCAAGTCCTGAAGATTTTGCTAACAGAAGGAACAAAGGTCTAGACATATATTATATAGAAATCTTGAGGCTTGGGCATTATTTTTCTGGTTAAAATATTGAGTTAACCGTTTGTAAAAATCGGCTCAAAACGAGCCGTTTAGCAACGCTAGTATTTTATAATAAACATCATTTGAATACGATAAAAATTTAAACATTCAAGATATTTGGTAAGGTTAAATGAAAAAGTTAATTTATATGAAATCACAATATTATCGAAATAAACGATAAAAGGTATACACAAAATGATTTAGTATTTTAGTTTAAATAGCTTTTAAATATATATCAAAATTTGGTGGCCTTATTAAAATTCATCGAAAAATCGTAAGATCCTGTCAGATATTTTATGGATAAATTGTCAAGCCAGGAAAAAAAATATCCACGAATTTTTCGGCCCGGTCCGCTATTTGATAAGCCCGACCCGTTATATTTTTTTAAAGATTTCTCTCTCAGCCCCTACCCTGACGTTTTTATTTATGTTTATAAATTCGGTCACCCAATTTTTTTTTAAATATTATTGTAAATTATGTAAGTGAATATTATAAAAATTTCAAATTCTATCACCAAAGTCCAGATACTTAAGGAACAAAACAAATACTAATCATAAAATATCTCCAGTCTAAGTAAAAAAAAAATACCACAATAAGACAGTAATATATATTTTATTGACTATATCATGATTACAAATAGTTATATACTCGACTTGAATCATAAATTTGTTTATTTGAAATAATTAAATATTATTTAATCTAATTCAAATATATATATATATATATATGTACAAATATTTTATAACGGGTAAAAATAATATAAATTTTCCTAAAATAGAATCCATCCATTTATAATGTCTAGATTTTTCTAATTAGTAATTAATAATTGATAAATATTCTAAAGCGATGGCATGCATTTCATTCGTTTAAAACACTCTTGTTCCAACCATTTGCGATGGTTAGGATGAGCGATATTGATGAGTTCGTAAGATCTTTGCCTAAGATTTTTCCCGAATAGGTAGGCGCACCCATATTCCGTGACCACATAATGCACATGGGCTCGACTCGTGACAACACCCGCGCCTTTTATAGATTAACATTTATTAAATTTACAAATCATCTTGTTCATCTGTAGCTACATTTAAATATAAATTTTGATTTCTTGAAATATAATATAAACCTTCCTTTAAAAAGGGGACAATTTTTGATTCCCCGTTTTTGGTAGTTGAAGTTAACGCGATTATCGGCTTGCCACGACCATCTTCTCCCAATCCTGCACCTCTTATAAAATCGACTTGGCCACCAACACCTAATATATTATCAAATACATTAAATTAAAAAAAAAAATTACATTCAACAAGAACGGCAATTAAATGAAATCCTTAATCAAATAATTACTTCGGGCCGGGCCCAATATTTTATTGATGTTACGACCTGCCCGGTATCGAGCCTACAGGTATAAATATAATAACGGTTAATAAAAATGATAAATTTGTTAGTGAAGCGTTTTTTTTAAAGCATCGATATATTTTAGTAAGCTTAATTCTTTCTTTATCTGTTCACCATATCTCCAGATAATTAGCCAATTGGGATTTTGACAGTTTAATTAGAGACCTGCAGCGGTACCATTTGCGCGGACCGACCAGGGCTTTATATTTTCAGGCCCAGTTCGGGTTTTTTAAAATGGCGATTTAAAATTATTTACGGCCCGGCAAGGGTATTTTTTAAAAAAATTAAAATTTGGGCTAAGGGTCGGTCCTGCAGATCTCTGGGTTTGAATAACGTTTTTATTATCGTTATACATTCATATAGCATATCGCCGGAAGAATTATATTCGACGTAGAGTTTCGGAGGGCAGGTGGCAACATATCAAAATAGAGGGCCCTGACCCGTCATTCAAAAAAAAATATAGACGTTATATAATCCTTTTATATTCTTCCTTCCCTTTTTATTGCCTTTAATATCGCAATTATAAAATGAATTTTTTGGGGACCAATAAGAAAAGGTTTTATATAAAATCACGTGGTGAAAAATGAATGCTTTAGTAATTCATTTTTCTATATTATATCTAAGTGAATTAAAGGTCCCCAAAATCCATAAATAGGGTAAGCATTAAAAATATATGATTTATATGTCTTATAAAAGGAACGAATCGGTATTTGTATCAATTTAAACCGGAATAAATTTTGGATCCTATAGAATCGGAAACGACTTGCCCAGTGATATCTATTTCGATGCACGAATTTATCGCGGTCATTTTTGGGTTAAGAGCTATTAATCTTGGATCATTGACGAATCCGATATCGCATAAAACTACATTGTTTTTAAATTATTAGATAATATATTTAAAACAAAAACAAAAAATTACATTTAAAAAATATTCTTTGGGAGAGCACCTTTTTAATATATGAAAGATTCCAAAAAATTAATTAAAATCTTCAAAACAATCAACTCTTGGATCCTTATTTTACAGGGTATATTTAATTTAAATAACTAATTTTTTTTAATGCGTGTATGCTTTACGCAACCCTTTAATGAATGAATGAATGAATACTCAGTTTAGGGTTAGTAGAGTAATGTCATTGACTCTAACCTATAAACAGCAAATAACCATGTCTTCCCAAAATACGGGGGTTTCGGTCGAAAAACAGAGAACCGATTATTTATACAACTACGAAACTTAAAGATGTTTGAACTGAAACATTAGACCTGCAGAGGTACCATTTGCATAGCCCGGCCAGGGCAATTTTTTTAAAAAAAATTTAGGCCCGGCCCTTGTATCCAGGCCGGGTTTGGGGTTGAGCCTGCAGGATATATTTCTTTCTTGGAACTTTAATAGAATCGAATCAATATATCAAAATTTTCGACACTGTATTTTATATATATATATTTTAACTCAAATTAAATTTTTAAAAATAATTTATTACACTTAAATATGGAAATAGTTAGATGGATTAAATCAATTTAAAAGTGTTCAGAATTAATATATGGTTTAGAATCATTATTTAATTCTTTTTTTTTAAAGTATCTTAAAATTTGTATCTATAAAAAAAAATATTTTTATCATCATCTCGATATTTATATTTTGATCAAAATTTGTATCGCAATATTTTCAAGACAATTGTTTATTTTGAAATAAGATAATAATAATTACCCACAAAATGATTGTCGTTTAAAAAATCGAATATTTTTTTGGTCCCTATAACAAAACTGCCCAATATTTTGCCGGTTCTAAACTTTTTATGGGCGTTAGTTATAACGCCTTCATTTATCAGAGGAAGAATGCCATCGCTAAACATCTCGGAGTGAATGCCCAAATCTTTATGATTATGCAGTTGGCTTAGTACGGCGTCTGGTATGGATCCTATACCTAGAGTAAATTTTTTTAGTTGCAAAGAAGAATCTCAAATACTGTAGAATTAAAGAGCTTATAGTATAGCTATATATAAAATTTACGTTACCCATTTGCAATGTTGCCCCATCTTCGACTAGATTTTGGGCGATTATTCTTCCTATCGCGGTTTCTTTGGGCGACGGTGCTTTAGCTTTCAACTCGGGAAGCGGGAAATTATCCTCCGTTATGGCATGAAAATGGGACATGTGTATTACGCTGTCACCAAAAGTTCTCGGCATCTGAGGATTTATTAAGCCTCGATATTTCATTTTTTTATTTTAGCATAATTAAAGAAAGACTTAAACATGTGAGATATTAGTATAAATGTTTGCCTAGTATTTAATAATCGTAAAATTATGAGCTATCTTTAACAACAATCTCTTATTTATAGGTAAACTATCGCAATAACTTGTAAATCACGCAATTAAAAAACCTATAATTTTCTTGGCGTTCAAAATGGCGGCTCTCGCAATATCGACACTCGGTCCCAGGGTGCAGAAACCGTTTTTATCGGGTGGGCTCACTTGAATCAGGGCCACATCCAAGGTCAAAACCTTTCTCTTGAATAAAAGAGGAATCTCGCTCAAAAATATAGGCACGTAATCTGCCATCCCATCTTGAACACATTTCCTAACGTTCGAACCGACGAAGAGAGAATTATCCCTAAATATACCTATTTTTAGCGATAATTGAATGAATAAAAAAAATTTTTTTTATCATTTTTAATCTTGCGTTTATAATTAAGACGACTCAACCATAATAAACATGTGATAAGCTTAGGTCAAATTATGAGCATTAATTTTAATCTTGGGTATTTGAACTATTCCAACAAACAAAAGGATTTAAAAATCTTGAATTAATTCCGCATTAATTGATATTTTAATTTATTATAAATTAATTAGGGATGTATCGATATTTTATCGGATCGGGCCGATATTTTATCCAATCGGATCGGTTCGAGCGGATATTTCATCTTTTTTAAAAAAATCGGTTATCGGCGAATATTATAAAATTATCCTATCCGATAAAATGGCGTGTTATATTCCTTAAAAAAATAATTATTTCGAATTTGATAATATATGTTATTATGGTAGTAAATAGATTATTGTTATTATATAAATAAGTGAATTAGTTTATCAATAAAAAATATAATATATCTAAATTAACCTTACCTTATGGTATACGTTATATTATAGATGTTGTATATAATTGTAAAAGTATACGAGATGAGTTGATGTAAGGTTGAAATGATGCAAAAATCGCTTCTTGAGCCCAATTTTTGAAAACGGCTAGCTCATTGCTTAAACCTAGAGATTTTGCTAATAGATGTCCAAACTCTTTGTGCCATCTATGAGCAAAATCTTCACGTTTTTGCATCATTTTCAAAGATCGACTCAAAATGGGAACGATTTTGCAACATATGCATTAAAAATTAAAAAACGATTAGTAAGTTTTACGGAATACAGAAAATCAGATATGATGTCAGATCGGTAATTGGCAGATGTCAATTTAATATCGGCAAATATCAGATCAGACCAATCTCCAAAAAGTGGTATCAATACACCCCTAAAATTATTAATTTTTTAAAAAAACCGCGATATTCTGGTTTAACGTGTTCAGCTGGACCTTCGGTATGTATGTGAATAACCTCAACATTTTCAATCTTATTTTCTTTCCCAAATCTAGCCATAGCCGTTACTAAAGGAAATGGCGTAGCAGCGCCTCCATGCAAAAAAACTCTATCATCTAAAAAATATATATTAAAATCGTAATATAGGTATGAAAACATTAAAAAAACACAAAGTCAATAAATAGGTTAATTAAAGATGAAAACACATTAAGAATATTTTAAATTGTTGTTATAGATATGGTAAAAAAAAAGTAGTGGCCACTTCAAAACAAGGGAATTTAGAAAGAATACAAAAACAAATTTGAAGGGGACCTCCCATAATTGGGTTAGGTAAAACATACATTATCTTATAATGAGAATATTGAAACCCAGCAGATAAAAATAATATTAGATTATGTTAAAAGATTACATGTATTTTATTATTATTTAAATACTTTATTTTGTTTATTACTTTTTTGTGAAAAAAATGATTATTTATCACAAAATTTAAATCATACTCAATTTGATTAAATTAAAAAATATTTCCCAACCTTTTATCATTTACTGATTCTTTCTAAGAATAAACATAATTTCCCAACCTGACCTTCAGGTTTGAGATTTTGTTCTTTTTCAGTAAGCTCTAAATATATTTTTTGTAAAAAAATTGGTTATAAACTTTTAATGATTAAATACTTGATTTAATACATGACACAGCTTCCAGTGCTGTTTGATACAATGGGATGCGACCAGGTATAGGATAGATTGGTTCAGATGAGAACTCTTTTTCATCGCTAGGGTTTAAATTTTGTTTACTTGTCATCATGTGATTTCTGGTGATTATTTTTGGGCACATTACATACCAATATAACAATCTTTTTGGGACCATATTTATCTTAGCAAATTTCACGTAAAATTTAAATATTTGAATAATTTGATATGCATTATCTACCAGATAGTATGATATGACAGCATCACACATAATAATACAGCTGTCTTATATCAAGCTGTTAAATATCGGACTTTGTACATTTCAGCTCTATAATATATCTACGATAACGAATAATTATTAGTCATATAATATATCAATATACTATTTTTGTTATAATAATCTTAAATGATTATGTTATTTTAAAATCAGAAATAATATTATTTAGTATTGTAAAAAGTAAAAGGTAATGACCTATATAATTGAAGTTGACAACGAGAAGAAAAATATCGTTATTACAAAAGAATATTTGTTTTTTTGCCAGTGTTCATGGTAATTTGATCTGACAGATATCTTTAATGCAAGTTTACATAAGTAGGTAAGAAATGGTGGCAGAGTAGGACTTATAAAAAAATTTGGGGGTAAGGACTAGAAAGCATAGAAAAAAAGACTGGAGGTTGGAGGTGGAAATTTATTGGGGGAGTATAAATTATATATAGGATAAAATAGAGTATAATCATTGCTATAAAATTTTATTTAATACTATTGTGTTGTGATATTGTATATGTAAATTTAACTTTTTGTATATTTACCTGAAGAATTTACTTGTTTAAAGTTTTTTTTTTCTAGATAATTTTATTATGATATTAGAATCAGCGACATTCGCCTTTACAATTTCAGGGGGCTTTTTTTAAATTTAATTACCATGCCTTTTCGCCTTTTCCTAAAGATTTTTCCAAGGTCTAAATAAGTATAAGTAATTTATATATAAAAAGTAAGTAGACGGTTGATAATCCTCCTATTATATATAATTGGTTATAAAATATTAGATAAAATGCCATTTTTACAGACATATTTGACAGTTATTATGGAATATATTACAGTTAATATTTTGATAAACTTTCTAATCAATGCTGATAAAAAAATATAAGTAACAATTTGTATTCAATTTGAAAAAGAGTCCACCCATAGCCGGGGCACCATGAAGTAAAGCGCTTGGAACTAATATAAAACATTGTTCTAAATATTCACTTTATTACTTTTTTTTATCGTTTATATAATATTTTTACAAACTAAAATTAGAATATAAAATTCAAAGGTTAAGTTATAAAACGAAAAGTAAAACTAAAATAAAAATATAATTTGAATAAGTTATTAATGAATGCGCGTTACATTATAAACATATACTATTTAATAACCAAATATATAAAATTTTAATTTATTAATTCCTATAATTTAACACAATTCTATAACGCCGTCTAAATATCTTATTATTCTCGAAATAGATTTAATCCTTATTAGACTTCTTTTTTTCTCCTCTTTTTTACATGTTTTTAGGAAAAATTTTTCTTCTTTGAAAAACAGTTTTTAGATAAATTTTTAATACGAGTATATTTTCGATATTATTACAATCTACTATTATTTTAAGAAATAATATAAAAATTAGAGGTGGTGATACAATAACATATAAAATCTTGATTTCCTATCCCTCTGGTCTTTATTTTCTAGTTAATAAATGTTCATTTCTAATATGGCATCCTCGCCGTGTAAATAAAATAAGGCATCAATATATTTGCATAATTATTTCTTCTAAAGATTTTTAGTGTTTTTGTTTTATCAATTTATCTAACATAATATATTCTGATATGAATTTACATTAAGAGTATCATGGCTATGACTGCAATTTAACCATGATCTATTATTTGTGTAGCTATGTAATTTAGAATTATTAATCATGGTGCTCAGCTGCTGAGAGCATTTGATCGCATAATTTATATTAGCAATAATGGTTAACTGTCTAGTCGTTTATATATTATTAAATGGTAAATAATCTTTTATAAATTTAATATCTCACAATAATTTTCTTGATTACCTATCTAGCTTCCATAATGTCATATAGGCCTAACCACCATATAGTTTTATGATTTGGATTAGTCTTTTATATTTTCTTCTTCAAGAATTATTGATTTAGTTAGGCCTACAAATTTTTCCTTATTAATCAATTCTATAAAACATTATCTAAAAAATGATCGCCTATTTTTAATAAAGACCCCGCTAGTAGTATTGATCATGCTGTCGTAGTTTAATGACCTTTTGTCAATGTAGGTTCCCTAAGAATTATGCTTGTGTCGTTTTTAAAAACCATTATCAATTGAAGTTAACCTTAAAATTTTCTTTTATATCCGGAATCGAAAATATTTACTATTGTAATAAATGGATAAATTTTTTTTGTATTAAAAAAAAAATATTATCTCTTGTATTGTTTTACTTTCATTATTTTTATGCATAATAAATGACAAAATATGAAATTTACAATAATTGTTCAAAGTGTGAATTTCAATTAAAAAAGTATATAATATAAAACTAGGCCGAAGCTCGAGCAAGCCCCTATAATTTTCTTTTTAGTTGACCTCAGATTGTAAAGGTTAGTGACACCCATGGAGGGTCTCCTTTTGATATCTGATTTTTTCTAAAATTTATTTTTTTATATTAGCCTTATATAATTCTGGGCCTTCAGTATTTTTTCTGTATTCTATGCGTTAAAGTATTTTTTTTCCATCTTATCGGGCAAGTTAAAATTCTAAGCGATTAAATAGTGGCATTTTTTTTTAATGAATATAAATAAATCATCTTTTTAATATTATAAAAGATTATTATTTTGGTTTCATGACAATTCAGCTAAACCTTTATAGTGAAACACTATATCGCAAATGGATTTTATGGCGAAACTTTTATCGCGAATCCACATTAACGAATACTGTTCCGAAAATACAGTATCGAAAATTTTTGAAAACATCTTTTTCGCCAAACATTTAAATATTGAATACATTACAACGAAACATTTCACGTGAAGTCATTATCTCGAAACCCAAATCGTGAAGAAAATATAGCGAAAACTTTTTTGCGAAACATATATAGAGAGGATATTATAGCTAGTTTAATAACACGAGGTCAATATCGCAATAAATGTTAATAATGACTATTTTATTTTTAAAAATTTATTTTTTTATGATCATATTAATCGAATAATATATTTTTTTTAAAAAATAAGCAAGATTTATTCAATGATGAAGGTTTTAATTTTCTTTAACCTTAATAAATTTATATTATAATTAATGAACTTAGTTTTGGTCTATAAAATTTATTTATCGGAATATAATTTTATGGCTATCCTGTCTTATGCATTTCCTCAAAGTCTTGTTAAGAATGGCGACAAGGAATTCGGGTTTATTAATATATTTAATCATTGACTTCATCAGTTAAACCTTGATCTTGATCGGCAAAATTAATATCTGAGTTGCGCCAATATTTATTTTCTGATGATTACTTCATATTTATAAATTCATCAATCAGTTTTGCCAGTCATTATCCTGAGAAAGACTTATTCTAAATAAAAACTATAACATTACTAAGTAGACTATCTATATCGAATTTTGAATGGCGATTCAAAAAAATAAATTAGATCTGAGTGAAATAAGGGATATCCACAATTTAAAAATTTTTTAATCTGATGAGTTTACGATCTTTATATATTTTTTTTTCCTGTTTATCTAGATATAAATAGGTATATTTACATAAAATTTAATAGGAATCTGAAACTAATATTTAGAAGCAGTCATAAGCAAAAATTTGCCAAACTTAGGCAAGCACTAATTCTAAAGCTTAAGTCAATATATAATGTTTGACTAATAGTTACAATATATGTAGATTAAGTGCTTCGCTTCGACATATATTATTCATTTTTTTTTCTCCTAAATACACAGAATTAAAACTACTAATATCGTTTAGCCTTTTTATTTACATATATTTTGTGGTTCAAATATAAGTGACAAAACGAAAAATAGTATGGATTAGTGATCTGCATCGGGTTTAATTTTTCGAGCCCTACCCGACCCGAAATTTTTTTTAAAAAAGTTTTTCCGACCCGGCCCGAACCCGTACAGAAATTAATTTTTATTATTACTCAAAATAAAAGACATAATGTTATATGGCGTCTAATTCTATAAATAAAATCTTATATTTTTATTTTACATAAAAAATTCAATATAAAATTGATAAATCTAAATATATATAATAAAATTTACAAGGGCCCGGGCCGGGTACTGGCCCAGCCTACTTTCTCAGATCTCTAGTTGGGTTATGCTGATATGTCTCATTTACAGCGAAGTTTGGTAGGCAGTCACATCTAATTGGTCTTGCTTTCACAGTAAGATTATTTTATTTAAGGGGAATAATGAAACCAAATCTCCTATTTTGGTATATGTATATCAATTTCACTTATTCTTTTTTACTAGGGAAACAAGATATAGGTGAGAGGCTTAGAAAGCAATCCCTTTTTTTTTGTCTCATCAAGATCAAATAGATAGTAGCTCGTAATAGACTTATTATTGTTGATTACCTACCAAATCACAAACCCTAGGCTCCTTTATATTTAGAGGGTAGACTAAACTATATAAAAAACTATAATATGTAATGCATCGATAATTAACACTAAAAACAGGAAGACAAATCAGATATTGGAGTCAGAAAGCTACACCTTGAGCAAAATGTGATCGAAAGACAGAAAACAAGTTATTTATATTTTTGTTGTCGATAAAACGTAATTGATAGATTTGATCATTTACCCTAAACTCACTGGTATAAATTTCCGACTATGATAAAATGCATGTATTACAGCCTTGCCTCTTACATTAAGCCTGATCATTAATGTTGCTTATAGCAAATATTTTTTTACAACTGCTTTATCAAAAATATTAATATGAGAAATGGGGATAGGCATCTAAAGGAGATAGGCCAAGGGTAGAATAAATTTATAGAGAGGGGGGGGGGGGGAAATTATCAATTAAATTTAAATAGATGAAATAGGGCAAAATATATTACTGTAAAAATTTATTTAATACTATAATTATTGCCTATTATAATAGACATATATTGCTAAGCATCTACCAAATACGTATATAAGAAATCATATTCATTATTTTTCAAATAAAAAAACTCTTGAAGTTAGTC